CATTTTTATTTTAATAGTATATTAAGAAGTGAAATATGGATGTAACTCAATTTTATAAAATTGACTTAATAAAGTAAAAATTGTAACACCCAGATTTCAGAAAACGGTGATTTAGTAGGTCAAAACAGGCCGTTCCAAACTATTAAAAATAATTATAAACTGTAGTTGAGAACGGCGTGTTCCAAATATGGTCGTTATGAATTCGATTAACAAGAACATGGAGAGGTTGGGAACCTTATATCTAAGATTTAATTCGAATGAAAATGGAAAGTACTACTACTATGATGAATTGGAAAGCATATTCGATAAACCCTAAACACTTTGATTTTGAAATGCAAGAATTGCTTTGCTCCATCCTCCTTCAACCGTCAATAATTTTTCTGTTTTAAATTATTATTTTTATTGTAAAAACCAACAAAACTATAAAATTGGATAACCAAAACCTTTGTATTTCTTTTACCTTTAGTTAAGTTATAAATAAGTTTAAATTAATTTTTTTAAAAATGAGTAAACATGATTTAGATTAAAAAAATGACTAGATGTAATAATTTATTGTAGATTTTTTTTATATTTTTTTTTGTTGGAAAAAACTCAAAAGAAATCAAATTTCCAAATAAAATATTAAAAAAACATAAATTTAGTTATTTGAATTTTTGTAATTAAAAAACCCATAAAGACAATTTATATTTATGTTATTTTATATAAAAGAAATGAATTTGACAAATAGAGATATCTTAAATTTAGATTTTTAATAAGTTGAATAAATTTAAATTCAGTATAAAAATAATAAAAAAACTAAAATTAAATAACTTAGTTAAAATATGACTATAGTTAATAATTTAATGTAAAATTTATTTAAAAAATATTGTTAAAAAATATGAAAATAAATAATAAAACAAAATCCTTTATGAGTCCCAAACCCGTCCGTGAAGGATGAAAATTTAGGGCGCCTTCTACAATTCATTTTCGCTCTCTCTCCCGAAAAAATTAGGACTCTGCCGCCCCTCCTAAGGTTAGGGTTTCCAATTTCATTCCCAAATGTCTCTCTATTCTCTTCCTCACTCAACGTCTTTCTACTCTATTCTCTTCCTCACTCAACGTCTTGTTTAAAATTGGCTTGTTGGCAGCACTCCTATAAGAGAAACTGTCAGATTGCAACTAAATCAGATGGGATGCCCAGTGGCTCGTTTATTGTACTTAACTAGTCATTATTGTTCTTTTGTTGGTCCAATTTCTTATTGGGAATTTTAAACACAAACCATTATTATTATTATATAAATTTTAAATTTTATCTATACGTGCAGTTGAGGCAACATACAAGCTTTACATTGTGATCACTACTGCCAATGCCAACATCATTTATCATACGTAAGAGCTTTTATAGAACTAAATTGAGTGAGAACAGTCTTATGTTGTTGTAATTATATATGATACAACTTTATTTTAGTTTATTTCCCTTGTTAGTGTGTGCGCTGTATGTACATGAATCAAGGTTATCAAATCAAGCTAATTTTTTCACGAGAGTTAGTGAAAAGAGCATGAAAAGAATAATTGAATTGTATATTTTGTATCAATGATACAAAATTGATCTGATTAGTTATTGTATAATAAGATTTAAAGTCATTTGAAAAATCAAATATGATGTAAATTATTACCTACTACCTAGCTAAATTGCATGGATTGTCATAGAAGTATCACATAAGAATTTATTGTCGGAATTAATGAATTTGTGAATTTTGCTTTGGAACACGATGAACATGATATTGGACAAGGGAAGATTAGGTGCCCTGTAAGAAATGTAAGTGTAGGAGATATGAAACACCTGACTTAGTAAGGGTGCATCTTTGCAAGAAAGGATTCATGGCTAACTATTATCATTGGACAAATCATGGTGAACCAATACCCCAAATTCCTCCTATGATTGCAGATCAATCATACTATGCTAGTAATGGGCCTAGGGAAATGTTTGATAATTATCAAAAATTGGTCATGGATGCTGCTGGACCAGAAATTGGAACCCACCTTGACCAAGATGATGATGACAACAACAACATAATGATGGAAGATCCAAATGTAGAAGCACAAAAATTCTTTCAAATGTTAAAGGATGCACAATCTACTTTATGGGATGGTTGTGATAAATATTATATTTTGTCTGCTTCTTTAAGAGCTTTAACTTTGAAAAAAGACTATGGTTTATCCGAAGGATGTTTTAATGAATGGATGCAATTTATGGGAGATATAATGCCAGATGGCAATCGTTTGCCTAAAAATATTTACCAAGCAAAGAAAACAGTTGCTGAATTGGGGTTAGGAAGTATGAAAATTGATTGTTGTCCAAGTGGATGTATGTTGTACTACAAGGAATATGAGATGCTACAAAATTGTAAAGTTTGTCAAAGGCAACGGTATAAACATTTTACAAGACGAGGTAAGGACAAAGTAGTGTCACTTAAAAGTATGTGGTACTTCCCGCTTGTTCCTAGGTTGAAACGATTGTATTCTTTAATGCAAACAGCTCATGAAATGAAATGGCATCATACTCATCAAAGAGAACCTGGTTCTTTGCCTCATCCCTCAGATGCAGAAGCTTGGAGACACTTTGATGAAACATGGCCTGATTTTGCTCAAGAGGCTCGAAATGTTCGATTAGGGTTGTGTGCTGATGGCTTTGCTCCATTTGAAAAAACTGGTAGGACTTATTCTTGTTGGCTGTAATTGTTACTCCTTATAATTTTCCGTCGTGGTTATGTATGAAAGTTCATGTTCTTAACCATTATAATTCTTGGGCCATCCAACCCAAAGAATAAAGTTGATGTGTACTTGCGATCTGCAAGTCCTGCATGTAGACAAGTGTAGACAAGTGATGGCTTTATCTTTCTTCAGCTTCTCCTCCTCATAAGCTTTGATTTGTGCAATGGTTGGATTTTCTCTCAATGGTGGTGGATCAGCTTCAGAAATTACAACATTCCATAAACCTTGAGATCTTAAAACAAATTTCATCTTGACGGCCCAAATATGATAATTTTCACCATTAAACATTGGAATTGCAGGTGAATTGGTGGAAGTAGACATCCTTGCACCAAAAATTGTTAAACAATAAATTACTCAATTTTGTGTTTGCACTCAACCTCAATGTATTTAGCGATCAATAAACTTTTCCTCACAGCCCGTAAGAAGCAAGCTCTTGATACCACTTGTTGGAATTCAAGAAGAATTAGAAGGCTTAAACTCATATTTTATTCATACTTGTAACCTTTTAAATACATAATTGAAAGTTGATACAAATTCTGCTCATAAACATAAAATTAAATGACAAATATAAATACTCATAAAAGTGTAACAGCACCTATAATTCCTATAATTAAAAAATCATAATCGTAGGAATTCTGATAATGCTCCATTAATATGAAATAAACTCAAATAATAGATGCTGATTCAGATTCTCAACATTTTCCTCCATTTTCTGTGTGCTGGGAAAATGCGATATGATTGAATGGAAAAATCAAGCTTGATTTTTTCAATACATTTATTTTTGGGTGGATCAAGTAAACCACCTTTCTTTTGTAGACAGAAGTTTAACTTTTAGTCTCAAATTTTTGGTGCTTACTACACACAAATCCTTATTTCGTATAGATTTATTAGAGAATTTCTCAAAAATCCTTATAGACCCATATCCAAGCAGGATCTTAGGCATCTCATAATACCCCAGTCCCTATTAAAACCATCATCAAAACTCTTCTACTTTTCAGAAATTAGTCTTAAATGAACATGGCCTAGAATATTTTCAATTCCTTTTCATCCAAGACTACTTTCATGTCCTTTGTAATGCAGATGGCCATTGCAGCAGTTGCTCATGTGTTTGTATTTTCTGCAAAACCATATCATTTTCTTCCTTCTGCATATGAAAAAGTCACAAAGGAAACAACAGAAGCAGCCCTGGAGATAGATGAAGGGAAGAAGAAGAAGCCAGCTGTGGTTGAAGAGATAACTACTAAAGTTGAGGCTCCAAGAACTAATCGTAGGAATTCTGATAATGCTCCATTAATATGAAATAAACTCAAATAATAGATGCTGATTCAGATTCTCAACATTTTCCTCCATTTTCTGTGTGCTGGGAAAATGCGATATGATTGAATGGAAAAATCAAGATTGATATCCTAAAATGAGGGAATGAGTACAACAAACCATCATGTTTGTGTGCGAGGAGGCCAATATGAAGTAATGGAATATGATTATTATGGATTGTTAATTGATATTTGTGAATTGGAGTACACTGGGTGGCCTAACAAAAAGTTAGTTTTATTTAAATGTGACTGGTTTGATTGCAGTTCTCAAGGGACAAAAATAGTTATATTTATGGCAATATTGAAATAAAAAAAATCTAGGAGATATCATAGCTATGATCCTTTTATACTAGCTCAACAAGCAGAACATGTGTATTTTACATCCTTTCCTGAGGGACAACAAGGTTGGTTTAGTGTCATAAAAACCAAGGCACGAAATATAATTCAGTCATTAGGAAATGATAAATTTGAAACAAATGTTGCTTACCAAGATGATGATCTACAACAAATGCCTTTAGTTGTTTCAAATGATGATTTTCAACAAACTCTTGTTGATATTATGGGCATAGCAGAGGAAGTTCTAAATGACATAGAAGAAGAAGAAGAAGACATACAATTGACATCAAGTAATGAAGACGATTATGATGAAACTTATGAAGATATAGATTCAAATTAACTTAATCTCATGTTTCATATTGACTCTTTTATGTAATAGAAGAAGAAGAATTAACTTAATTTCATGTTTCATATTCACATCAAGTAATGTTGTAATTGTTGTTGATATGTGTGCATTAATAGACTTTGATGTCATAATCTTGTGGTTGTTGTGGATATGCATATATTACTATATAGTAGATATTATTTGTTAATCTTGAACTTATTATTGATGTCTTAATAAACTTCATTTGTTAATGTTGTACATTGTGTATATAGATTATGAGCAATAACATGACTGATAGAGGAAGAGGGAGAGGCACTGGTAGAGGTATTAGTAGAGGTAGGGGAAGAGGGAGAGGTAGAGGTACCACCATTGTGCCACCACCTTCTACTTCTCAGCCAACACATTCTATTGGAGAACCCTCTCATTGTACTACACAACCTACACATGGTTCCACCTCCCAAACACCTACAACTCCCCAAAGTAACCAAGCTACACCTACCCCTCATGTTACTTCCACTTCCCAACCACATTTAGTTCCTCAAACTAACCAGTCTATACCTACCCCTCATGTTCCTTTAACACAATTCCCAAATATGATTGAAAGACCACAAACAAATCCCTCCATTGATGCTACTGGTAGTCCAATTGTTGGATCATCATCCTCTATTGATCCATCTTTAGAAATTGGAAGCTTTGACTCTGATGGACGTATTTGGATTCGCCCAGGTCCACAAAACACGTAAGTATGAATAATTATTTTCTTTTAGATCAATATAAACATGTTTCGTGTTATAAGTTATTTTAGTTCTTCTATTTTATTTTTATAGATTCGACCCACCAATTCACCCTACCCGTGAAATTTCAAGAATAATCAAAGGGAAGTTTGAAGGGTCATGGGAATCATATGGAGAGGTTAAAAGCACTAATGAAGGTGTGGCAAACATGTGGTTTGAAGAGTTTCAGGTATAAAGAACTACAAATATTATAATAACCATTTTATATTTTTCATTGCATTAAATTGCACATTGTTTAAATAATATTTTATAAATTTTTGATGTAGAGAAAGTTCAAGTGGCTGCCTGATCATGATGCACAAATAAGAAAAGCATTTGACCATAAAGCATCTGAAGGGCTTTCAAATGCTATGTATAGGGTGCGACGAGGCATTGATCAAGGGAGTTGGATTCCAAAGCAAAAACTTGTAGAACTTCAACAAAAATGGAATGATGAGAATTGGAAACATAAGTCAATGACTAATGCTAATAATAGAAATTCTTCTAATGGTTCATTGCATACTGGAGGATCCATTCCTACTTCTGAGCATTTTAAGAGATTGGTAAGTAATATTTACTTATTATTTTCAAGAGCAAAATTTAAAATTAAACTAGATTACTTTTTGTTCCTTCAGAAAGTATCTACAGATATGACTCCAACATGTTGGGACCTATTCCAAAACACCCATAAGACAGCGAACGGGAATACATGGGTGTCTTCCAAGGTAGAAAGGATAGCGGTAAGTTATAATTTTATATATATTGAATTATGAAGAAGTTGATTGATTCTGTTAGAGAGATAACAATGATTATGTTTGCAAGACTTGACATATAATGGTTATATTAGAGACACAACAATGGTTATGTTTCAACAATGGTTATGGTACTGTGAAAGTTGTCATGTTCCGTCCTTCACTGTCGACTTGACATATTAAGATAGGTTACAGTCAATGGTCTCAAAATTGCAAGCCATACCATTTATAGTATGTAATTTTTTATATGATTTGAATTTTTTAGTGAATTATGTGAACATAGAATCATTTCACCTTATTGGTTGTGCTCAATTTTAGTTTCATGCAATGTGAAGTGCCACCATCTCTACATCTTAGTTTACTAATTGCTAAATTCAATGAGATTCATGTGTATGTGGTGTTGCATCTAGGTTTACAAGTTACTAATTTCATTGGAATTCATACTTATCTAGTGATGTTGCTCATAAGTTACATCTTAGACTTTTTACTAAGTATTTTTGTGTGTTCTTCTTGCATGATTCTCTGCATCATTCATGACATTCATGAGATCTTCTATTGTCATTAATGTTTATATACTTTTGTTTCTTACTTTTCTTTTTATAGAATGAGTATGAAAGACGGTTATCTGAAAGAGAGTCACAACAATTATCGGGAGATCATGCTGCCTCTAGTGTGCAATCTGAAAATAGTATTTTCTATGATGTTGTTGGTGGTGTGAACGATAAAGGAAGAATATTTGGTTTAGGTTCAGAGGCTGGGAAGTATAAACCTTCTTCTACATTCTTAGATGGTATCTCAAATCCTGAGTATGAACAAATGAAAAATCTTGTTTCAAATTTGTCTGAAGAAAACAAAACATTGAAAGAACAATTAAAAAGCCATGCAGATTTGATTCGTGCTTCACAGGAAGAGTCTCGGTTGGTTCGTGAGCAACTGAAGCAATTTATGGAGATGTTTTCTCAATCTTCTCGTCCTCCCCAACCTCCTCCTACACATGATGCTGACACTATACAATCTGATGATAATGAGTTAGATGATGATCATGATATAGATGTTTAGGGATGCATTATCTTTTACTATTATTAATATTTACTATGCTTTAAACTTATAATTTGTTATGTTTAAGTTTTACTATAGTACTTATCATACATTAGGGATCAACTAAAGTCATAAACTTTGTTATTTTTGGTGGTATTTGTATCTATGGTATGCTTGACTTTCTTATATTCGTGTTTAGTTACATGCTTTTATAGAATTGAGAAATTTTTCCTAATTATTTATTTTGTTAATTTTTTAATCAAATAGACAATAAATTCAAATTTTTGATTAATTAATAAATTATTTGTTATATTCATAATTAAAAAAAATTATATCACAGTTATAGGACAAAAACATACTCTTCACAAATTTACGAAAAAAGTTCTTTATAAGATCAATAATTCGCAATTTGTGACAGATTTCATTCATCACAGTAGTTTGTGACGGATTTCGCAATTTGTGACGGATTTTATTCATCACAGTTTGTGACAGATTTTATTCATCGCAAATTGTGACGGATTTTATTCATCACAATTTGTGATGGATTCTGTTCATCACAATTTGTGACGGATTTTATACATCATCACAATTTGTGACGGACGCACATCCCTCTCCACTTGTGTAATAAGATACACAATCCCTCACAAATTTGTGACGGAGTTAGACCCTCACAAATTACAACGGATTTAATCCCTTACAAATTGCGATGAATTTTTATTAATTTATAAACATTTATTGTTAGAAATTAGTGACGAAAAATATATTATTTGTGATGTCTTAATTCCGTCACTAATTGTGACGTACTGAAATTATTCGTCACTAAATATTTTGTGACGCCAATTTTTGTGACGGAATCAGTTCCGTCATAAATTCCGTCACTAATTTATTTTGTGACGGATTTTATAAAATTTAGTGACGAATTTGTTCCCTCTCTAATTTTATTTTTTTTAGTAGTGATGGTTATGTAATTTCTTTACTTTCACCATCCGCAGATGTTCAATCCTACAAACTTAACGCATAAGATGTTCAATCTTCAACATGAGGAGAATGTGTTAGAGATCTCACATCAACTAAGAATAAGGTCATACTATATATATATATATATATATATATATATGTATATGCAGGGAGTAGTTCTCACCTTACAAGTCAATTTTATAAAGTTGAGTTAAGCTTTTTACTGACTTTCTTAATATGATATCAAAGCCTATCTTAATGAATGTTATTAGGCTTATCAAATCACTCGCTATTAGATCACCCGTAGATTTTAATCCTACGAACTTCACTCTCGAGATGTCCAAACCTTGACGTGAGAGAGTGTGTTGAAGATTTCACATTAACTAGGAATAAGGCCAAAATAGTGTATATAACTGGGGAACAAATTTCATTTTCAAGATGTCGAGTCCTTGATGTGAGGGTATGTTGGAGATCTCATATCGACTAGGAATAAGACTATAATAATGTATATATGTGGGGACCAATTCTCACCTTATAATTAAGTTAATTTTGTAAGATTAAGTTAAACTCTTATTCACTTTCTAAGAATATGCATTAAATTGATTGTCTAAATTTTATTAGTAATTTTTATATTAAAATATTATTTATTATGTTAATTAAATTAATATTTAATTATAATAACTATATTAATTTTTTTATATTATCAAAAAGTGAAATGTGAATAAAAAAATATAAAAATATGAGTTACTTATAAGATCTCATTATTGAAACAAAAATTTGTAAAAATATAGTGTGAATTATTTAAGAATGATGCGGCTTGTGAATCTCATTAAAAAAAATAATGAGAATATTTTGTGTTACCATTATATTGTTACTAGTTATGCATGCAATTGTTACAATTTATTGTGTTGAGAATGATATAAATTAAATAGTATATTTTATGTAAGTATTTATATATTTTTATTTTGTATATAGTGATTGTAATTTGTAATATTGGTTTTTAAAATTATATTTAAGTTGTGTACCTGCTTAAGGATACACTCGTAGTCTTCTTGGTAAGAAGGACCGAACGGATACTTCAAACGGATTCTTCAGAGGGGGGAGGTACCTGCAAAAGGCACTCCAACGCTCAAGTCAGGATAAGCACGATATTCTAGGATAATTAATGAACAGTGACATACCTTGTTATGTGTGACCTATTTATAGCACCTGACATGGGCCTGAGCGTGATGGGCCCTCTCAGATATTTACCAAATTAGGTAATACGGTACTAATTGGTTGTTAGGCTTTAATCATGTACTTACCTTTCTTAATTGTGATTACCGTTATGACTTGTTTAACTCTTCGGCAAGAGGCCGAGCCGACTATTCAATACTAGTCGGAACGGCAAATGACCGAGCCGTCTAGTCCGTATACGGCAGCTTGTATACTTCCGGTACGATCTATGTCGGAACGGTACTTGACCGAGCCGACTCGATGAGTGATGATGGTCCATATTGGCATTAACCAGATTGATGTCGGTTCTCGGCCTCATGCCGAGCTGACGTTGATGGTAATGCTTCTACGTGGCTTACTATGCATGAGTGCCTGACGAAATGGCACGTGTTGGCCCACGTGACCGATACGGTCTCTCCGGTACAAGTTGATATTTTGGTTTAAAATTTGATTTAATTTAATTTATGGGCATTTATAAAAGAGATGAATGTAAATTAAGATGAAACAAAAAAGGAATTCATTATAATTTATAATGATAAATATAATCATAATAATTTTAACATTACCTGTATTCACCTTTTCTAAATTTTGCATATTTGACTATTTTCTTGCTCGTGTGCATATCTTTGTATTTCTCTATTTGTTTGCTCCTATTATAGGAGGATAGCCTCTTCCACATTTTCTTTTTCATCCCAAACGAATAAGGGTAGTAATAAGAAGATTTACAACACTCTAACACCTTTGTCGATGCTAGACCCCCTTATGCTTCTTCCACATTTTAAGAACTACCAAAAAAAAAAATACTAGGGATTAAAGAAGGGACTTTTGGTTTCTTATCATGACAGGGGAGTGAACAATAATTATAAAATAAATAATAAAAAAATACCTAAGTAAAAATCAATAATAGGTTCCTAGCTAGTTTATATTTCTTATTGTTTAATTATGATGTAAAATTGTTTAAAAAAAAAGAAAGAAAAAAAGAAAGAAAAGCTAACGCGTGCTTTAGATATTCCACCGGAAGCTAGTTATATATGTGCCAAAATAACATGGGTTCTTCTCCAGCAACATTTTCCGTAGTTACTTTTAATCAGGTTTAGGTTATTTATATGATATTTGATGTTCATAATATATTTTTAAATTCTCTTTTTGATTTTGAAGGACATTATGCTTGGCATAAGAATGTTAACCGGTATTAATGAGCTTATTCTAGCTATAATATATCAGTGGCTCAAATCGCTCTATAATTTTATATTTAAAATTTTTAAAAATTATCAATATTTGTTAAATCAATTAGTATGATATCTAGTTCTTGAAATTTTAAATTTTAAATCTGAGTTTTGGGTGTCATAATTGAATTTACAATGAAAATGACGAAAAAATATTTTTAATGAAATCATCACCGATATTTTATTTTAAAGAAAAATGTTGGAAAAACTCTTTAAAAAAATAATGTTCTTTAAAATTATAATTGGATTCGAAAGTCAATTACGTATAAGGAATGCATTAGTATCTTATAATGCTAAAGAATGTATTAACATTCTACAACACTTGTTAAAAATAGTGTCTTGAATTAATTATGCAAAAGTATATAACCTTACAAGTATTTATTTTACCCCTAAAAAATACTTTTTGATCCTTTATTTATAAAAAAAACTTTTTTTGTTTTTTTTTAAAAAATTGCATAAGAATTTAAGCTAGTAAATGACTAATCATTAAATCCTTCTAATATCATTAAAGATATAATTGTTATTCAATTAATATTATTAGTTGCTATATATTTTTATTATTTTTCAATATTTTATATAAAAGAAAATTTTAATTTTATTTAAAAAAAACATGCACAAAAGTTTAAGCTAGTAAATGACTAATCATTAAATATTTACAATAACATTAAAGATAGAATAATTATTCAGTTAATGTTATCAATTGTTGTATATTTTTTAATTAAAAGATAATAACCATATTTTAGAAATTATCTTTTCGCAAGAATTAAGTTAACAAATGAATAGTCATTAAACTCTTGCAATCAAATAACTTCAAAGATAAAAAATGTTATTCAATTGAAATTATTGATTGTTGTATATTTGAATAATTTTTAAAGAAACATTTATTAAAAAATGAGAACTTTTATTTTAACTTATATGAAAAATTCGTGATAACAAACGATTATTCTACAAACTTTGTTTTAAGTAACATTAAAGACAAAATTACTATTCAATTAATGTCACTAATTATTACATGAGTTAAAGACACTATATCTTAATAATAAAAACAAGGTAAAATCATATTTTTTCATAAACTACAATTATCACTTTTGATAGGAAAGAAAAAAAAATAGAATCATTAATATACAATGGTTATAACATATACATTCTCAAAGCCATGATCTTCAAATTTTAATACAGTGAAGATAAATCTTTTTAACATCCTAAAACTTCAACTTAATAAAAATAATTATAAGAACCATTAATGTAAATCTTTAAACATTCATCAAATCAAAAAAGAAAAAAAAACACCATGAAATAAAATAATAGAAAAATAAAAAAATTGAGAAAAAAAAAATCGAAGTACATGAAATTCAAAATGAATAAAATAAAACACATAATAATTGAATTCAAGCAAAGGCCGGAAGATCAATGCTATTTTTCCTGAATGCTCCTACTTTATTTATATATAATAAAGAATAAAAGTTGATATTCGCATACAATCATCAAACATAAACTTAAAAATGAAATAAATACAAAAGAAATGAAAATGGAGAAAAGATTATGTAGGTTAGGCAATTCAAGGATAAAATTGTGCAATACCTCCAAAATATTTCACATATGATCACTGTGCACAACGCCAATCACTTAAAGTTCG